ACATACTGACCTTTGCCCATTGGTGCTGCACACGGCGCCTTTCTTTTTTAGCACAAATGCTTGTTCGTGGTGATTGGTGACGACCACCAGCCTCAAATAAGTATTGACGATCACGACATAAATGTGCTTGAAATGATAAAGGATCTGGTTTATGGTGGTTTTTGGAAGGGAAGGCGGGAGATCCTATCCGATGTTAAATTCCAATCGGAAGAGCCACTCGATGGCGGCGTCTGGAATGTCGGCAGTTAAGTGCATTTCGCAAGTGTTCTGCCCAGTGCTTCAGCCTCTGCGAATTCTCGGTTAAAAGGGTTATTCCGCTGGTACTGTGAAGCACGGTATTTCATTCGGCAATGGAACTGTAGACTGACTGGATCGCTGCGAAGAAGCTCTTTCATACATTGCTTTACGCATATTCTCGGCCCTCCTCGGCACTGCGAGCTATCCATGCGTCCTGTACTTCTCGCAGCCGTTTCTGTCCAAAGCTGAAACATCGGCTGAAGGACGCTCCGTTTGGATCGCTTGGATGGTCAATGCTGGCTGCATGAGGTCGTGTGGACGGGTTCCCGCTTGAATTGTTAAAAATCCGCCTTAATCAGCAATTAGAGGAAATCCCTTTTGTGTGCGAATGACTTATCACCCACGTTAGCCATGCCTAACCGTCTTGTGATAATAGAGTGTGAATTGGCCTAATTTTGTCCTTATTTAAGTACTAAAACATTCGTGAGGGAGAAAATTGGGCGGAAAATTTAATGTACTATCATTATCGGGTCATTTGTCCTACCCCACCTAGCGACAGTGTCTGCAGTCGACGTATGGTCCACCAGCGGCCTAAGTCAACCGGCGGATCCGTCTACCGATCAGAGGTTCTCTTTATCTCGACATCCGCACAATGATTCCGTTTTCTTCACCCGCATTCCTTTCGATACCATTGTTAATACCAATAAACTGACGTATCTCAATTCCCTTTATAAATCAGCCGAATGCTGTCATCACAGATGCAATGCGAAAGCAAGACAAGAAAGCCATTGCTAAACGGGTCATAATGCCAGGGACGAGGTCGTTGTGATTCATATGCCGTAAGCCATTCCCTCCAAGCGGGAATCAGCCAGTTGGATATTGCCGGAGAGAACAAGGTTATAATATGCCACTGTATTTAGCACAGTCTCTGGCGTCAAAGGGGTTTTCGCTTATAACCGGCTTCTCTGGAATCCTCTTGTGCAGTACATCTTCCAGCCGTTTTGACTTCTCAATGGCCAGTTTCATACTCAGTCTAAGGTAGATAACTGCTTATATAGTGAACAGTCACACAGGCGAATTTGGCGTCCCGACATATGAACATGCAGCAAGTAAACGAAAATTGTTCGTTTATATCTTGCTTTCTTCAGAAAGGTAAACGTTTGACAGTTCAGTTTCTAGATTGTTTAAACTAGTCATTTTACATCAATGTAAACAAATGGGACGCTAAGAGACCTGTTCTGCACTCCGAAAACTCACTTTCATACCGAGGCGGTCTCTCTCATTTATCTCCGTCTTCTTAATATCCTCCTTCTAAATGTCCTGTACTTGGTTCCGTAAGGCTGATACTGACCTTTTGTCCAAATTGTTTCTTGATGTAATAGTAAATGTACCTAATAAATAAACATGTACCTACGACCAATTTTTGTTTTTTGGTAAATTAAACACAAGGCATACTTCTTCGAGAACATTTGAACTTCACTGTCCTCTAAATTCCCCTTCTGCTTTTCATGTCTTTCTTCCTTGAAGTCACGTAGTCCGTTGGGGGGTTATTCTGAACTGACAGTGAATTAAATATTCGGTGTAATTAGGCCTTCCAGGCTTGATAGAGCAAAGTAGGGTTTCCACTGCTATTATATAACTATGAGAATCGTTAAACAACATGTAAATTTGGAAATAAAGGCCATGAAAACGGTGACTTTATGAGTTGAAATTAATATGCTTTCCCTGCCAGCACCAGCCCCGCCTAGCCCCGCCTGGCCCCCTCAATAATGGCGGGGCTAGAGGGGGCTATGAGGGGGCTAGGCGGGGCTGTGGAGGGGGCTGTGGCGGGGCATGCAACGCGATAGCCCCGCCTAGCCCCGCCAGCGAAAAAAAATGCGTAGGGGACGCCACATCCGAGCCCACTTTTGGCACCACTTTAAAATATCGTCCCAATTGTCAAATATACGAATTAATAACACACACAGATTGTAAACCGGTGGACAAATAAGAGTTTAAGCAATGAGGGACTTAAACAAAACCTCAATATATTGTGCTCATCCGCAGCTACATTCAGTGGGCGTAAACGGATGCTTTCTCCATGGTTTATAAGCCAATTTTGATAAATTAGCTCCTATAAATTCCAAAGAAGGTACAATAAGTGGTGCTTTTGGAACATATCTTTCGATGCAAATACGCTTCAAAAGGCTTCAATCCAGAGGGGGTTCTGGCCCCGCCCAGCCCCCTCCAGCCCCGCCTATGAAGGAGCCATGTGCTGGCAGGCGGGGCTCTGGCCCCACCCAGCCCCTTCCAGCCCCGCCTATGAAGGGGCAATGTGCTGGCAGGGTTCGAACAGCATTAATGCTTTTTGAATTCAAACACGCACTTGCATGATATTGGAAGAGGAATATAAATCATCAATTTGTCTATAAAATAAATTTCTGCTAGTGGACCTTCGTATGGTATCTCACAGCTTAAGTCAGAGATAAGAGCTCTTATCTCTGACCAAAATCGAAATATATTTCGGGGACATACGTCCCAGAAATATATACCCTGCCAACACATGTGTTGGCAGGGTGTATTCATATGCGTTATAATGGTAAAGGGTCGCTCACCGTTTGAGGACAGTAAGAGCATCTATCGTTGCTCAAAACCCTGGATTGCATATAAAATGTGAAAGTAATCGTGCGGTTAATCAAAGTTCCCACCGGCCGATCTACACAGACCCTCGTAGTGCTCTCTCTCACCGATGAATTTGACGCCGTCCACAAACACTTGGCAGAATTATTGAATTCCCCCTGAGGAACCATTAATATAAGTTTAAAGCAATGACCACTCTTTTTCGGCAATCCTGCACAAAAAATACCGGCAGCTCATGTTACAGAATTTTTGGATGCGTACATGGGAGACCTTAAGGTCTTAAATTTCTTTGACGGTTCGTCAAAGTTTTGAATACACATCACCCAAGACCTTCTAAACAAATAATCAGTGGTAAGCTATAACAGGGAATTTCTTGAGCCTAAAATCACAGCCTTAAAAGTTTTCACTCCGGTCAATTTCTTGCTTTGAATTCGTCTAGAACCCTTTGGTAAATAAGTCGATCACTTACAGACGTCGTTTTCGTTTCCTCGTGAAATATACATAACACAACGTCATAGGATATCGGACATAGTCGATCATGCTTGTCTTGCGTCTAATTTGTTAGAAAACAGAAATGGATAGTTACATCTCTTTGATTCTACTTATGTTCGTATTTTCGCATCCAGGTGTTTTAAGGAAAGTGTGCATTAACCCTTTTATTTTAAAACTTACGTTTGCTTGCCGTGATCGAAAGAGAATACATACAACTTTTAAATTTTACTATTGTCAGTGCCCAATCTAGTCAGTTTTTTGGCTCAAATGAAGCGAGGCAATTTTAAAACGTTACTTTTGAATAGTGACTTATGTCGCTTTTCATAAAACAAAGTGGGTTATTTCTTCCGTTTTCGAATTATCAGGCCTATTAATAGCGGAATTTGCAATACTCTATCTGGATACATAATTGTATAATTTATTATCCTATAAATTTACCGACAGCTGCAAGTTCATTGATATTTAAGTAAACCTGCAAACCAGTAACTAAAAATTAATTCGAAAGACAAGCCATACAAAATTGCACTAATACCCTAGGGATATTGAGACATGCAAAAACAACGTTTTTCGTTTGCGAACTTATAGTTTGCAAACTCTGAGGTCTATTGATAAAAAGTCGTCAGACCTGTCGGTAATAAAAATGCGAAATTAAATAGTAGAGTTATGCATTCGGAACCGAACATATAGGTTATGCATTAATTGCCTTAGACCTTGAACGTGTCCTCTCACATTGTACGATTTTTTGCCAAAACATAGGTAAAAATTGGGAGAATCAAATACAACGAACAATTTTCATGTCAAAGCTGGCTGCATTTAAGAATTCTAAATTCGTATACTGAAGGCTGCATCATCCTTTAGATGTATTTACTAAGCACGCAATACTTCCATAAACGGTCTTAAGGACTTCCTGGGATCGTCTGAATTACATTTTGCCTAACCTATTAATGGTTTTCGAGTGACATGCGGATTTACTCTTCTACTGTTGACAACTCTTCTTTACTTGTCGTTAGTGAATATCTTGTCCGCCTTGTTAGACAAAATAATAAAAACTAAAAACGACAATATTATCTTAGTTGGGTTCCACCAAAAGGTATCAAAACCCTTAACATTTGAAAAGAACAAGTACAAAATCCAGACAAGAGTTAAGCCTTCAGTTGTTGAATGTGATGTCCGAAATTCCTCAGGGGGCTTGATTTTCCAACCACAAGGGCAACTTTTTTGCTCTATTTGTTAATGAAAGCAATTTGTGGCATCTAAGAATCCCAGCCGTCTATTCAATATCTGGCTGTCTTCCACCAACAGTGCTACAAAGTAGACTGTTTGGAAGGCATATGTATACATATGCCTTCCAAACAGTCTACTTTGTTATCAACTTCCACATCAACCACAAGGACCTAGTGAATCTAATTAACTCCTGGAAGAACTTACTTAGTATCCACTAAAATGTGTGATCCCTAAACAAGCTAATTAGAAAAATTTTAAAGACTAGTCGTCTTTATTCTCCAATGCGTAAATAAATGATTTTCTTTTTGTTGGAATGAACCAAAGTCGCTAACCACACCAACCACTTACAGTAAACTATAAAGTTATTTTTTACAACAGCATTCTTTTATTGTTTCCAGAGACAGTTCTAGTGGAAGCAGTGTGCAGGCATGTTTGCTCAAGACCAGGCTCGTGCTGTAACTAGTCAACAACAGCCCATGTCATCTAACAAGCTGCCTGGTTTCTACTTCCGAAAACGTGTCGAAAGAATTGATTGGAGACGCTTGGGTAATTTTGCACTTCCCTACATACTGACTTATAATACAAGCCTCTGTTGATGTCTGTCAGGTCGCTAGTCAAATGGACATTGATGCTTTGCAGGATAATCTTGTCAGCGTAGCTTTTTGTGACATCACTTCGGAGTTGGTGAGTTTTTTGCCTGGCTATGGATTTCTGACGAACTAAAACTCTCTTACAACAGGATACACGATACGTGGATACAAATTTCATAAAGCTGTTTCAGCTGGCCCAGCTACTAATAGAATACCTTCTCGTGAGTTTTTTATGCAACTTATCGCCACACTTTTTTGATTTTCCACTTCCATTCGTGTAAGTTGACCAGACTGCGAGAATTTACTGAAGGGATTGCAATTTACTAGGCATCGCGATTATTGTAATTTAAGTCCAAACTCGAGGTGAAGTCAAATAAATTTTAAACACCTCTCGTTTACCCTCTAAAGAGTCAAATGAGATACTACTCGGTTTTTAGTAGCTGTTGTGCAGCATAGTAAACTGACAGTTCTCGTTTTCCCCCTATTTTGAGCCCAAATGACCATTTAAATAAACATTTTCTTTAATATGTTTTAGTACTCTCAAGAATACCTTACCAACGGTCTAGAGGCTGTCAAATTGGAAAATGAAAACCTTAAGAAGGTGAGACTGAGTGCGATCCAAGTCTTTTTCTGGGTCATAAAGGATGCATTCATTTCTTGCTTTCAGTAATTCATTTGCTTATTTGTATATTATCCCTTGGGAGGGCCAATCGTTAAAAAGGTGTCTTGGTCTAAACCTTCGGGCTAAATTTTAGATTACTCTCTCATGGCTTAACACATCGTAAACTAACGGATAGACTACAGCTAGCGTTAGTAAAATCCTTACCACTGACTGCTAAATACACAAGCATTAATCAAAACGTCTAATTATGATTTCCTTTTCCTTCTCACTGAAGCTTACGGCCCATTCTTACTCGATTCGTCTAATTTTATTTGCGGTGGCTTCAGGATCACTATTGAGTATTTTCAGGTATCTGAAACTGACGTCACAGAGATAGTCAGGTAGGGCTCTGACGGTTTTCGCATCCCCAAGGTTTTGCCTCGTCAGCTGCAGTCTTGCTAACTGAACGCTTGCGAAAATCCCATAGATTTATTAACTTGCCTCTGAAGTAAGTACTGTGTTGTGTCTTCTGACATTTTACTTAACGGGATCTAAGTGACAGATGGCAGCCTCAAGCATAATGCTCTCCGCTTGATGCCGTCGTCCCTGTTTTCATCTGGAACATCATTCAGGTGGCCGACCGAATCGTTACTTCTCGATGCTAACCGTTGACATTCTTATTCAGTGACTTCAAAGCATCCTTCGTATCCTTCGACGATGTTCTTTCTACCCTTGTGGGCTTCAAGTCACACCAAGTTTACCCGGGACACTAGTTGAACTCTGTAACGCTCTTAGCCAACTTTAGATGTCAGACACAAAACTCATGAGCAGCGCCCGAAGCGGGGACTTTGAAACAAATCTTCGGCGGGAAAATCAGCCATAGAATGGCGGTGCTTAACTTCAGAACGAGCAATTTGAGGAAGTAAAGAGAGTGAAGCAAAGAGGCCTTATTACAGCAATCCCATCCAGTGGTTGGATTTAACCAACAGGTTTATGTTGGAGTTTAAGAATAAGGTTTGTTATGGCGGACGGGGTCAATTTTAGAAACTGTTTGATCGTTGGGACAACGAGATTTAGGGATAACTGTTGACTTACGACGAGTTCTATGTCCTGTGGTGCCATTTGATTTGGTCTTAGGGGTCTGTCTGAAAAAAAGCATAGCCAGATTAAATAAGTCATTATGTTCATTTTAGAAAGACCTAAAATATGTACCTATCCGCCTGGCGAACTTACATTTGACGGGTAAGCAGACTTTGTAGGTAAGGAAACATGGAATCTTGAAGTAGACATCCCTCTTCCATCAGATATCGGACAAGGCCCATTTGCGATTTTCCGTTTATTTGATTTCGAAGGCGGATTGCGCAGTTTATTCAAATCTTCGACTACAAGCAAGGTTTTATAACCTCGGGAAATTCCATGTTGTTGCTCATTCCATCTTTTTTCAAACTATCCCAGGAGGCCGCATAGGTAGACAGTTCTACTGCGTTCAGCGATTGAGCATTTTGTACCTGCATCACCACGGTTCACGTTTTCGAGTGTGGCACGTAGCGTGATTATTATTACATATTTACCTATGGATCATGCTGCAAATACTGATGTTACTAAGAACTTTGCATTTGATAAAAGTGGTGCTGGTAAGATCGCAGTTGGTATCCAGACATTATACGTTGATACTGTCGACGTACTTACTTGTTATCCGTAGGTGTGCTTACCTTGTCTAGGGAACTGGTTATCAGTAGGTGTACTTCTACTGCATTAAGTAGGTCGCCCGTTTCGGTGGAGCTGTTCGGTTTAGTGAGGGTTAGGGTTAGGCGCAGCTTAAGCTTTAGGAATAGGATTTGCGTTTTAGGGTTCGGTTTCAGTGTTAGGGTTAGGGTTTAGGTCTGCGATTATGTTTTGACTTTAGGGTTGTGGTTAGGATTTAGGGTTAGGGTTATGGTTTTCTGGTTTAGGGTTAGAAAATTTGGCTTCCGTTTTAGGTTTGGGGTTAGGATTAGGGTTCCGGTTAATGGTTCCCGATTCTCGGGTTAGGGTTAGAACTTAAGGGTTAGGCTTCCGGGTTACAGTTAGTTTGAGTTTAACGATTAGGTTTCAGTATTACGGTTAGATTTTGGAGTTAGGGCTATGTCTAATGGCTACGGTTAGGTTTAGGCTTTCGGTTAGAGTTAAGGTTGCCGTTGGGGTAACCGTTAAGGTTAAGGTTAGGGTTATAATTAGGGTTAAGGTTGCCGCTAAGGTTAACGGTCAAGGTCGAGGTTAGGGTTATGGTTAAGGCTAAGGTTAGGGGTAGGGTTAAGGCCAAAGTTAGGGTTAAGACTAAGTCTAGAGTTAAGGCAAAGGTTGGTGTTAAGGTTAGGGTTAGGGTTAAGGTTAGGTTTAGGGTTAACGCTAATGTTAGATTAAGGTTTAAGTTTAGTTTTAATGTTAAGACTATGTTTATGGTTAAGGTTAGGGTTAGGGTTAAGGTTATGGTTAGGGTTAAGCCTAAGTTTAGGGTTAGGGTTAGGGTTAATCTTATGGTCAGGGTTAAGTCTAAGTTTAGGGTTAGGGTTACGGATACGGTTAGCTTTAGGGTTAAGGTTAGGTTAGAGTTAAGGTTAGGGTTAGTGCTAGAGCTATGATTTGGGTTAAGTTTAGGGTTATGTTTATGACTAAGTTTTGTGTTAGGGCTAGGGTTAGGGTTAACGCTAATGTCACGTTTAGATTTAAGTTTAGTATAACGGTTAAGGCTGTGTTTGTGGTTAAGGTCAGGGTTAATGTCAAGTTTATGGCTAGGGTTAAGCCTAAGTTCAGCTTTAGGGTTAAGTTTAGGTTTAGGATTCAGGTTTGGGTTAAGGCTACAGTTAGGGTTGCGGTTAGGGTTAGCGTTAAGTTTAGGGTGAGGGTTAACGCTAATGTAAGTTTTAGGTTTAAGTTTAGTCTTTGGGCTAAGGCTATTTTTAGGATTAAGTTTAGGGTTAGGGTTAAGGCTATGTTTATGGTTCAGGTTAGGGTTAGGTTTATAGTTAAGGTTAAGTTTAGGGTTAGGGTTAGGTTTATGATTAGAGTTAGGGTTAGGGTTAAATTTAGTGTTAGGTTTAAGGAAACGATTAGTGTTAAGTTTAGGTTTAATGTTAGGGTTAGGGTTACGCTTAAGGTTATGTTGAAGGCTATGGTTTGGTTTAACGTTAGGTTTAGGGTTTAGGTTAATGCTAGGGTTAATTCTGAGGTTAGGTTTAGCGTTAATTTTGGGGTTAGGTTTAAAGCTAAATTTAGAGTTAAGCTAAGGGTTAGGGTTCGTTTTAGGGTTACGGCTAAGGTTAGTGTTAAGTTTTTGGGTTAGGGTTAGTGTTAGGGTTAAGGCTAAAATTAGGTTAAGGTTAGGGTTAGGGTTATGGTTAAGTTTAGGGTTCGGGTTTGAGTAAGGGTTAATTTTAGGGTTATGGTTAGTCTTAGCTTTAATGCGAAGTTTAGGATTAGGTTTAGGGTAAAGGTTAGGGTTAGTGTTAGGATTAGGATTGGGTTTAATTTTATGCTTAGGGTTGAGCCTAATTTTAGGTTAAGGGTTAGGCTCAAGATTATTTTTAGGGTTAAGTTCAAGTTTCGGGTGGGGTTTAAGATTAGGGTTAAGTTTAGCTTTATGGCTAGGCTTTGGGTTGGCGTTTAGTTTTAGGATTCGGTTACTTTCCGGCTAGGTTTGGGTTGAAGTCTTGTTTGGATTTTATGGTTAGTTTTTTGGCTTACCGTCAGGGTCGGATTTTATGGTTAAGGTTAGTGTTGGGTTCTAGGATTAAGGTTAGTGTTTGGTGTCCGCATTACAGTTAGGGTTTGCGCTTATGCTTAGGGCTTTAGGCTTACGTATTGTGTTTAAGGTTGCGGTTGGGCTTAATGTTAGGGTTAGGCCTTAGTGTTATGGTCAGGGTTACGGTTCAGCATTACGGTTAGGTTAACGGGTTAATTTTAGGGCTAGGGTCAGTGGTTGGGTTACGTTTTACTAAGCCAGTTACGGTTGGGTTTTGGGGCTCAAGGTTAGGTTTTAGGGTTAGGTTTTAGTTTTGGGGATAGGGAAGGGGTTAAGGTTAGAGTTAGTGTTTTCTGGATTAGTCTTAGAGGCTTAGAGTTAGGTTTTGAGTATGAGGCTTCGTTGGGTTTTAGCCTTATGGTATTTGCTACATCTGCGGAATACATGCTACTACTTGTTAGGCTAACCTGTAGGCAAAACCGTATGCGTGTTGCCGCAGCACTCGCAACCGTATTGGCACGCGGCATCGACACATAACTTGCGAGACCAGTAGTTCCTTAGCTTGCAAATACTGCACAAGCTTAGGTGATTGAATTACATCCTGGATTTCGCCAACTTTCGTTGGCTGACTGATTTACGGAGCTGCCTTCCTCGTCTTCCTTGCGGTCCGCGGTCTTAAAAAGGACAGAAAATACGCCGATAACTTGGTAAACCATGCCGGTCGCCCTGTTTCACTCTTTTTTCGGAAGCATCAAGGTTACCAGCCGCGTCGTCCTCTTTTTATTACGCCACATCGTAAGCCGCTTGCTGCCGCGTCTCCCTTGCAGTATTATTGTTTATTTCTCAATGATCCGCGTACTCACTCATCGAAATTGGGCTCCTTTGTCGTTAATTCTTCTTCGCTCGCCACTTCACTAACATTCCTGATTTTGCCTGCGGTTTTCGGTTACGCTATGCGGAATGACCTTGCCATCGGCCGCCTATATTTACCTCCGTCATTTTCCGCAGGCTGTGCTGTTTTCAACGGGATTTTTTAATTTCTGCCGTTATTCCACCTGCTTAAAACTTCTAAACACTGCGGTCGGTAACTTTACTTTTTCCAACAAACTCCAGTATTCTTCTACCAGCTTCTCCATTTACCCCACCCGCATAACCCCCTTTCCCACCATTCCCGTAAGACGGGGGCCTCGCCGTCCCCTTCCTCATTCCTGGCTACCAACTACGATCTAACCAGAGTGCTGGTCATGCGATCACTGGTACAAGAAATTTATTGGCCTTACGTTTCGGATTCTCAATCGAACCCATCATCAGAGACAGTCTGCGACTTGAAATTCTAGAGAAACTGAAGTAACCGCCTTCTGGCTGTTTCTTCTCTAGCAACTAACCTCATGTGTGACTAAAATCGATGCAGCCCAACACAGGCCGCACCATCGGTTAAGCGTCCTAGACGGGAGCTCAGACAATTTTGTTCATTTTCATGAGTGGTTCAATATGCGAGAACTCTGTATTTCCAGTCTTTAGTTTGCATTTCAAAATTGAACCAGAGCCGACGTCAGGCGTGCCACAGGAGGTGCGCCACAGACACACAGAGGACGAGACAGTATGGTCGTAGACGTCGGCCTGCCCTTCACATCTCCTGTGATTACCCGTCATTAAGAGAAGATAGGCATGTATCTCCTGATTTAAATGTATTATCGGTTTAATTGAAAGTTTAAGTAGTACGGGACAAAACAGGGGAGATGTACCGGAATGATGATGAAACATTCTTGCAAAAATAACTGTGCAGCTTCTGCAATGGGTTAGTTCTTATAAAGCAAATTTTGCCAACCTGTCCTTATCACAGTAGATTTGCCTTACATCATCAGGAATCCGAGGCTTTAAAGAAGCGTTTTGAGGTCCAGACGCAAAGGTTGACAAGCACTCGCAGGGAGTGTCATCGACGGCGTCTTCTTTTGCTGGCCCAACAGCAACTCATGGATGCTGGACCTCAGGCCTACCATCGGTGTCCCCATTGTCCCAAGGCCTTCATAAACGCCTCCTTCTTGACTGCGCATTTGCATCGAAGACACGCCGAGATAGTCAACGCATTGGAGCCGCTGACACAGCGGTTGTCCTCGCCTCCCAGGGTCCAGCGTCAGCCTTTCGGGCGTGACCAGTTGGAGAGCAAGATCCGAGAAGAAGCAAACGATTTGGTACGTTGGTCGGAAATGAACTTGCCCGTCCTCTTTACATGGCCTGAATTTGTTTTCTCCTCTATTCAACTTTTATGTACCAAGCCTTCCTTCAATTTCTTACCCGTGTGGCTCCCCCTCTTATTTTTAAACTTCTAATTTGCTCCATAATTCATTCATTACTCTTTATTCACTGTCTGCTTCCTTCACCTCTGACCGCTTTCACGATTGAGTTCCTCAACTCCTTTCGTGATTTCGCCGTCCGAGTCTTCCGTTTACCAACACCCTCAGCTTTAATTGTTGTTGGTTTTTTTAGTGTGTTAAAACTCACTTTTTTCCTCGCTTTTCCCGCATAATAAACCACATTTTTCCTTGCCTCATTCCTCCCTCCTTACTTTTAATTCTTCCTAATATATCTCCCGAACCTCCTTTTTGTTTCCTTGCCTGTCATCGCCAACTATTCCTTTCCACTTGCAGATTCTCTCCATTTGACAGTTGTCGTAAATTCTCACTAATGCCCTGAAAACCCGTTCTGCAGGCTTCCTCGCACTTACATGTAGAAACCGAATTTTAACTTCGCTTACTTTAGCAGACCAGCAGTGAAGTGATCGCGCATGCGCTTGACATCGCCATTAAGACATTATATTTCAATGCGGCTGTGCTGATTTTGTGCCGAACCGAAATTGGGACATCATTTTAGGGTTACACTGACTTCGCCTAAGTCCTATCTATTGTCTCACAAACGGGTCAACCGGCAGATGCGCGACAGATATGAGGGGACTGATCAGGGTCTGGCACGCGTTGTTGGGTTGCGCGACCGTCACAAATATCATACATGTGGGGGGTGTGGTGGCATGTATGGGAACAGCCAAACCGTTGGTTTAACACGGAAAGTAGGGCACCGCTCACGATATGATCCTCATTTTCCACGAGAAGGATCTTTCGCGTCTCCTCATACTTTCGATTCTGCAAAACTTTGAGACCCCCAATGGTTTCCTACTCAAATCCTACGTTATTGGACGGCGCTTTCACCTGGTGTTCCGTTTTTCCATTCGAAATCTGTCGGATGGCGACCATGAGCCGGTATCCTTCTGCTCGCATAGCGTTGCCAAGGTAGGTTGTCACTCAAATTCAAACAATGACTGTGGTACAGTGGAGTCTAGGGAAACGTATTTTAGTGCGGTGGCGAAAGAAGTCGAGTGCCTGCCCCAGCGTCTACAACCACACCTCTTCGGTGTGGATCTTATTTTGTGCAGTTCCTCGGCCGGCTGATGGTGTCAAGAGGCTGGCAATCATTGATGTCAACATCTTCCTCGGGGAGTTTGTCCTTCAGTAGGGTTACATGCTGTAACCTAACATCTGCACATTGGACGCAGGTCAAACCACCTTGGGTTCCAATGTCTAATCAGGGCCACTATCTCCGTGTATTTCGAAAAGGCTGAGACATACTGGTGAAAGAGCATGCCTATGAAGCCCCTTTTTGCCCTGAGAGTCAAATGACATTCTGCGCCGACGGACCTTGATCGACATCATGCTTGCCATCACACTTTTATGAGTGCTAAGACGAAGATGATCAGCGTTGGTATTCACGCCGCTTTGCTGCCTCCAACATTAACTCGTTAAAAAAACCGACCTCCAAGGGTAGTTATCGTGAATAATAAATTAATAGAAGTCAGTGCGGTTCTTCAAACGACTAAGAGAGATAAGAGAATTTAAAATCGTTCATAGTCATTGAATGCCGCATTCTGTCAGCTATAGATTTCTCAAATTAAGTTTTTATTTGTATGGAAGAGAGGGTAGCTATCTTTTGAGGAGGTGAGAATGTTCTGTTCATTCTAAGTCTCGCGGGCACATCCTCGGAGATAGCATATGCGTCCTTCATAGCGACCTCGGTTTTTCGCTCCTTACCGAATTGATGACAGACGCCTCTGTAAGCCGCGGGCAAGTCGATGCTGTAGTTAACTGAGTTGGTACCAGCTGACCTCCAAGTATCAAGTACCTCTCTGGCTGTCTTGCCTTCGACTCGGCCAATACGTTTTGAGCAGTCAGAAACAAGCCTTTTTTCGTGTTCAAGGTTGGTTATGACAGAGTTTGCCCCTTAAGACGGACCACGTGGTGGATGAGCTGGACCAACACGGTGGCTAGAGCGGATTCTGACGGACGCTATTTGGACTGCGCCTCCACAACAAAGGCCGAAATTCAGGGTGCGGTGTCAGGTCCAGTTACAAGCTCACGCCGCACCAACTGAATCCCTGCTGCCCACAATCTTTGTTGTTTAGAATCCTGGTCAAATGCTTGTTTTGAACCAGAGGGTGTGATGATATGACTAGGTACGGATTTACGTTGTGCTAGCCACCTGCAGCCTACGCAGCCTCTGGTCTCCTCGACTTCGTCTTTACGCCGGATCCAGGTGGGGGGAGAGAGTGTGATAGGCGCATCGCAAGTCCGCTACCATTAAAAACCAATTCGCGCGCAAGTAGCCGTCCCCGCCCCAACCCTGCCATGAAGCACACGGTGGATATCGTCGAAATCGACGATCGAGCTGTCGAGCATAGACACATGCCGTGCCGGCTGCTTGTGCCCTCTTCTGTGAGATAGCTCGGTGCCATCAGGGGCCAAGGGTAAAACTCCCGTGGGTACTTCTTAATGTAGCCTTAATTGCACCTCCACTATTTGAGCGTTGAGTCAGCTTTTCATTGAAGGCCGCCATATGTAGGTTTATGGGTCATATCGTGTGTGAAATCCGTAGACGGGCTGTTTAATTTTGTCAACCATCATTCCAACGCCCACGTCCGGTCGTCTTGAGCTTGTCTTACCGTTGGAACTTGGCTGGTGCGTGAAAATGGGCCGAGGTAGCTCATTTCACTGCAAATTAATTGTAGTGCATGTAACGGCCGTGGCCACCCTGCAGGGCACTGTTAGGTCCTCTCGACTGGGCTGATCGAAACATAATAAACCTCATGGGCTGGGCTATAACTCCTGCTTCCAAGCTGTGGACTTATCAAATGCTCAGGTATGTGTTTATTGGGCACCCTTGTTTCTTACCCCCTTCCCTGGGCTTTTCTGATTTCATTTACTTTCATGTGTCCTGTCCTCATTTTCATCAGCCTCTTCATATTACTTATGATTTAATCTTACTTTAATTCCGTTTCCTGAAAATCTTTTCCCAGGTGTTTCCGTCTTTTATTTTAACTTTCCATCCTTGTTCCTTCCATTATCTTTTTGACTTTACCCCTTGCGCTTTCGAATTCATCGGTCACATTTCCTTTCTCTGGAATTCGTTGTAAACCTCCACTTTTCCGAAGCATGATCCTCCTGATTCTTCTTACTTTTTTCTGTCTGTTCACGCAGATACTGTCACTTTTCCCTTATGTTCCCTCTTTTTTAACGCTTTTCTTGCTGACCCACTTCCTATCTAAACTTCCCCGCCCTTCATCTTTTCTGCCCCCCTACTTCTTACCTTTGGCTCTATCTTGTCCTCATTTATCTTCGTCCCTAGGCTTTTTTATTTTTGTCCTAGTTCTTTTCATGGTATCTTCAAGTTCTCTTTTTCTTTATTGACTTCTTATATGTTTTTGTTCACTAGTTCAAAAATCCATCTGTTCTTTGTCCCCACTGTCCTTCTTATTCGTTGTGTACTGGTTGTTTCCATTATTTTATGAAAGAAAACACGACTGAAATGGTTTTCTCCTGCTAGATAATGCCTATGACCTTCATTCACGTCCCACAGACTCCAAACCTGGAGCATCAACTTCGCGAGGTCCTAGACCAGCTTAAATCCCAGAAGCAAGCCCCACAGACAGAGACCGTGGTCTCCGAGTGGCAACCTGTGGTAGTAACTCCTCCGCGGGCCACTTCCTCCCCACCGCCCGTCTGGAAGGAGCGTGCCGATCTTCTTGAGCAAGAACTGCAAAAGGAACGCAACTGGTTTCGGGAGGCCGAGGAACGCAATCGCATATGGCAAGCCGCCGTTGCAGATCAGCATAAGGTAGGTCCCTCTCCATGCGGTAGCTGACTCCTTAGAAAGCCTCAGAGCCTAGGCAATATAACAGTCCTTTGTTGAAATCCGCCGGAGACTGTGCTGAGGCAACGATAACTTGATTTTCAGGCATAACAGCTTAAGGCAGTGTGATAAACACTGACTGGACTACGCTGTATGCTTAAGCCTTACAAAATCTTTCTTGAATGTCATCCTAAGAGCATTTTTTCTTGATAGCTGATCTTTAGACCCCGTGCGACATCTCTCTTCGTTTCCTCTATCATGTCTTTTAAGATCTAGGCCAATTTTTTTCGAAAATCTGCATATACTGCAGTGAAATCTGGCAAGAACAGATTGACACTGCTTTGAATACTGTATTGAGGCTGGCGTAGCTCATGTTAAAAGGCTGTTTAGTAAGGCAACATCGTACCAGCATGCCGTGAGTAAATGTTTTTCTGACCGCTTTCGCTTCGGGAAGGTGCAGGCGCAATCGGCTACCGATTAAGGCAGTCAAGTCCTGCCTAACTCAATGACATATCTATATTAATGCATCTATTTTAAGGGTTTCGGACGGAATTCCTGGTGGTCCTATTAGGATTAAGTCAATACACTTCTTCTCAATTAATAGAAAATATAAGTACTTGTCTGCGTCTGGAGCGCTTTGCGGTTGATTTTTACCGTCTACAACGATTCAGTACGGAGGAGCAGAAATCATGGGTGGTTTTTCTGAGCAGTGGAAGGTGGTCTTTTTATTTAGAATAATACTGTAAACTTTCACTGTAAACATAACAGCTCTTTTGGCAGCGGCGTCAATCACCAAACTGCTCGTCGACCGAACGAAATTTTGTTGGTCCATTCTTCATCATGCACGGATGATCTGTTAGGTGGCTTGTCTGAACAGTCAAAGAAGTCCCCCGGTTTTAATGAGCAACCACGGCCTTAGAAGACCCAGATTTTTAAACGAAGGCCGTATCGTAGTTAACCCTCTATCCTCTGTCACTCCTTTTAATAACCCTATGAAGTCAAACACCCATGATATTCCGAATAACGGAGTAGTAAAATATGAACCTACTGGACTGAAATTTGGTTATTTTCGTCCTTCACAACAGTCAGTCTGCGCCCCAGCTTTTTAAAATGCCCAGAACATGCAATTTCTCAATCTTTATTACAAGCGTCTTCGGACCCAATGAATCCACCTGCGTCCTTAAGAGTGGCGAACGCTGATTAACAGTACTTAACACCCGACCCTAGAGATATGCACGTCAAATGCCTTAAAAGGAAAGGTGCCAATTTAAGCAAATTATGGACGCAATTTGTGCTACGCTTGTAAGCGGATCCTGCAAAGTATCCTTCACTTCATGAACTTCACAGTGCATATTTCATCCGTTAAAATTAAACCACCCTCAAAATTTACCACACTAATTTTCGTTGAATAAACCTAAGAAACCTTGGCCATGGCCTGCTACAAAGCAAAAAATAAAACCAAAACTTGCCGCAAAACTTTCATGATTAACATTGTTTCACTAAGGTATTATCCCTTCTTAACAGGCCGACGTTGAGGCGATGCGTTCTATGTTTGAAATGGAGCTACGAAACCTGCGGGAACAAAACTGTCAAGCACAAAAAGAACTCCTTCAACTCACTGTACACAAAGGTTTGCTTTAGCGGTTTTCCTTGGCCATTCCATGTGTAAACTCAGTACCTTAAACACATGAAACGGCCTACGTTTTCCCCGTGCGGTGGATAGGATATTTCTGTTGTCTTTCGCCTAACCAAATATCCCCTAGAATGTGCTGCTTCGCACACTAGCTGCTGAGCCTCCACCAAGTCTTGCAGGTTGCCTCTACTATTGGTTTCTTCCTGCAACTGATCTTATAAGGATAGAGGGTTGTAGCATTTTAACGCTCTCTCAGAGAGGTAAAAAGTCACTTTCCCTATAAGATGCATACTATTTTAGTCTGACAGGTTTCGACGACCTTCAAGTCAGTTACGTAACTCTAAGCTTGGGGATTTGCTATAATTATCTATAGAGCGTTATGGATGTGTGCTCAGAATATAATTTTAGGTTCTGTTAAAAACTTCATCTAGGCATTTCACTTGAGAGATGCTAGTTCTCCTTAAATGACCTCGGAAGTCTTGTACCTGTCAGGTCCACAGGAGGCACTGGCTGAACCAAGCTGTCGCCAGAACTTAGCATAATGTTAATGTTGGGGTTTGGTTAAAGAAATTGCGATTGACTTAACTTGGGCACCAACATACCAGAGAGAGTAGACAGTTTTCATTTACTACTCGAAGAGTATTCGAGGACTGACGCCTATTTTCCTCTATAAACTGAACTGAACTGAAATTCCTGCTTGATCAACCCTGTGTACGCCGGGGGGAACCCCCTAGCACAATTGGGATACCCACTTAATGGCAAAGTACAAACTTATATCACACTCTTCACACTAGCATGACAATTTTAACAGAGTTAGCCACGCCGGATAAATAAATTTTAACCATTCTCATCTTGCAAGCAACCTTCTCCTCGTCTAGGCTGTAACTGTGAGGTGGATGAAAAAAGGTTAAAGCATCTGATAACCTCAAAGTTACAACTTTTCCAAACACTGGTCATGCAACAGTTTGTGAAGTTAATTAATACACGATTCAACTTTTTGGAAGGGAATATTCTACTGTTCAGGCTCCTTGTTGGACAGTTATATAATAGTGCCAATGAGAGAAGATTTTGAGTAGCTTACTTCCAAGACTAGATAGAGGTTTCGCAATCGTTTCTGGTACGAGGAAGCAGAGACATGTTGCATGTGTCCGCTTAATTTTTTGAAACTTGCTCATTTACTTTGATTTAGGTCCTTCCAACTTTGGTGACCTTGTTGATGATCCGATTGATCAAGTAAGTGTCCACACTGATTTCTTAAATCGCTCTTTTGGTGAATACTATGGAAGTCGGTTTTTGCATTTCAAAAGTCCTTTAACTGAGAACTGATGTTAACTATTAGGTTAGTAATGCGTAGTATACCGCTTCGTCGTACTTTGACCTCTAGCTGGCCTTCTTATTTGCTTTTCAGAACCAAAAGGACGAAATCGCTCCCCAGGTACCGTCTTCTATCAGTCAGGTGTCTTTTTATGTATTCGAAACTTTTCCGATGCATGCTAGAATGCAGGGATCCAGACAGTAACTGAGCAAGTGCAGACCAGATTACTTGGTCAGTAACTTCATTCTTTTTGCGTTTCCGAGCCCTACGTCAACCAGGCATCAGATAGGAAAAGGTGGAGACGCACGGCAATTTCTGCAGAGAGTGGGAATTGTTACGAAATAGCATACTTAATGATTGACAGCTCGCGTCCAAATTAACTAATAAGACCCATTTATTTTTGATGTTCGTAATTGGTGTGATAATCGCTTAGCTGGCCACATCTGGTTGGTCGACTGCAAGGCCTTCTTGTCTGTTGATAATTGATCGTTTTGGGCCTCAGTTCTACTGTTAAGAATAATGTTCATCCAACAATTTTAGGAGCGCGTAGTAACCCAGCGCAGGTAGAGTCATAATTCTGTTTGTCCCTAAATTTGTCCTTACTGGGAAAGATGCCCAGTTCAACAAATGTTCTTTCACCGACCCCTTTGATTATGCTTTCTTAAATCCCTGTGGAGTTTTTGGCAGTCATTTGTGTAAAAAAATTTAGTTCACCCTGCTGAACAAATTCTTCCGTGACTCAAACACTGCGGTTCAGTCCTCCGAAAGCAGAAACAGGTGTCTATTTAGGGACATCGATTCCATTTTTCGGTGGAAGTAATGAGAAGAATCAAAGAGTCACCACGATGTTGAGTGCCGTCGATCAAAACCATCTAAAGGCTAGAAGAAGCGCGATTTTCTGGCCTTTGGAATATAATTCTTTTGAGAGATAAGACCCTGTCAAGGTCGATGTTAACCCTGTTTTGTTATGTGAGTCAGTTTCTCAACCCATGACATGTTCTCTTTTTCTCTGCTACATCGAATCACGAATAGCAAGATCGAGTGTAGCATTTGTATTTGTTGTTTTACAATATTTTAATATTTAGAGGTGGGTGCAAGTCATTGGATGCAATTAACCTGCCAATACTTCTAAACGTCTCCAGCCCCCTTACTTATATCTCGGACGTTTAGACGTAGTAGGCCGTTTTACATTTTTAAAACTCTTCTTATACTTAGACTCAGTTTACGACGTTTACTGGAAACAAAATGGAACCTGTGTGAGCAAGCACCTCCATTAATTACTTACCGAAAGAATCATAATATTTTATACAGCGAACTCGCTTATTTGATGTTACACAGACTGATAGTGCAACATGGATAGAAGTTAACATCTGTGTAAAAAAACCAGCAATTAGGTCTCTTTGCTTCTCTTATCTGTCTTCTGTGCGACAGGCTGTTGCACTTGGTGCCAATTGTCTTAGAATTAGCCCGACACCCGTTACTTTATAACCTCTCTGAAGTTAATAGTAGGAGCCTCCCATGCCCCAGAAGGTCTGTGCACTAATTGTAGCAGAATGAGCGTGGACTCGAATTCCGCTTTGCGCCATCTCAAAAAAAGTATTTAGTTCAAAAGTCCTTAAAATCGGTTTATCATTCTGAATTACTAATCTCTACCCTATTTTGCCTTTCCCCGTCGAAACGGCTGCTTCGGGTTCACTAAAACTTATTCATCCTTCCGGGAGCCCTTAACTAACTCATTGATGAATTTGCAAACATTTTATCACAGTTCTTCAGGCGACCTGTGAAGTCCCCTAGTCCTGTACGACCCAGTCGATCATCAGGGTCGGATGGCATCCAAATACCCAGTGGTGTGGTCAACGCCAATAATGCCGAACCGCCCACAAGCTGGCCATCTGCCCAAGGTCTATCGCCAGACCATCCTCCAGGTGTGCTCGGGGTGGGAAATGAGCAGGCTGAACTCCACTCCAGTAGCCCGTCCGTCACCACAGTGACTAGTTGCACCAACACGAGCCCCCTACGTCAGATACCTGTGCACCTACAGCCTGCTCCCCCCACCATGGCCGTGGCAACCAAAGCGACGGAAACCATAAATGACAGTTATTGCAAACCGCGACGCAAATCAGTCAAGCAAACTACCAGCGAGCAACAAGTCTGCCTGGATGTGTCTGTTCAGGCGGCCTTAGAAATATCGAAATTGCATTCCACTTATGGTACCAGCACAATCTCTCAGGACTTTCGCAACAGGGGTATAATTGTCGAGGGCCTGATTGTGCGTACCGAAGATGAGGAAGAGGCTGAGTTGGAGGCTGAGCAAAGCCGCAGCATCCACGTAATACCCTGTGGACCCCTGAGCCTGCATCATAGAACTTCGGTAGTGGCTGAGTTTGCCGCGTTTCGCTGGGTTCACTTGAGCAATGTTGCCTTTTATTCGTTTTCCGTTGGTGATTGTTCAGTGGGATGACGCAATGGCATGTCAGTGCCACTTTATGCTTCCTATCTCTGTCTATTTTATACCCAGCCGACGCTCAGTAGAGCCCATGATGCCCTGGCCGACAGCCTGGCTGAACTGTCAACACTTGCGGCCGTGCGACACGTGCAGATAGTAGATGACTCCAACTCGGTTCACGAATCCATTTCCACTCGACCTCCACGAACATCGCAGTCATCGCCCTCTCGACTTGTTCTCGAATCAACGCCGGCATCATATCAGCCAATAACGATCGATAGCAAAATGCCGACTCCAACTAGTCGCCGGACTGACGATCTGAGACCGAGGGTAAATTCCGAACACAGGCCTCCTGGTATATCCAGTAAGTTACGCGTTTTTTGGATTTCCCAGTCACTCTACCAGAGACAGCGTATCTAAACTAGCATCAAGGAACGTTCGGTTTCCCTTAGAATTTAACCAAAGGGACACGTGGGGGCCTCGTACGCGGTCCCTGTTTGCATCTGTGGGAAGATAACAGCATTCCTATATTTGGTTGTGCGGTCTACCGAACCCCTAATCTTGGTCGTCCCAAAATGAACAATGCTGTGGCCCCAAACCAAAACGGCGCCAAGCGGGCGTTTGGCACGTAAGAGACTGAGACGTCATGACACGTCAGCTACTGGGCTTGATCTCGTCTCCATCTGACTCGATTCCCTCTAGTTTAAATTACCATCGGTAAACGCTGGGAAATTAAATATGGTGAGGCCGAATCAGCCAGATTGTTCTCCACTTAAATAAATCTGACGCAATTTTAGAGTATCGGGTAAAAATAAATATCGTGACTTGGAAGATTATCAAGTCACAAGATAACACAGTCCACCGGACTGAGGGCCAGGTTAGAATCACTGCCTCAAACCTAAGGATAAAATTCATCGACATGTGCTCCGAGGTAATTGGGGCGTAAAGATGTCATCTCCATACCTCGAAGCTTAGACCGCCCCAGATATAATGGACGACTAGACAAGTAGCAGCTTGGATTTTCAATCCGCTAACAGGCTATTGACTGAACGTGATTATTATGCTGAAAATGTTCTGCTTGGCCACGTTTGCCGTGAGAATGTTTTAGCGGGCAGTAAGTCTCAAGGGTCAGTAAGGCGTACCTCAGGCTTTTTAGTCTGTCAGCATATATGCAAGTGCATGTTAAACAAGGTAGTTGTGAGCAAATGAATCTCGTCCGTCCTTTCTAGCCTTGTGCAGTATTATCCCTCGTGCACCGTTACGTATAAGTCACCCTATACGTCTGCCAGACGGACAGCAGGCATATAATATTCTGTCTGCCTAGGTGCCCATTATTTCTCGATTTTTCCAACCGCTAAAGATATGGATCCATTAGTCATCAGACTTTCCCAGCGGGACAGAGTGCCAGTCTTCCGAAATCCGGTCGAGCGTCCATCACCTGAATTACTAGGAGACCGCAACTAGTTCTACATATTCTGGCATACCCTTATTTCTCACTCACAGGGGGAGCCCATTGTACTCTCGATCACGGTTCTGTCGGGTGTTTAAATAAACTGCATGCTCAAAAGGTGGACGATACCGGGAGGATTAGGCAGGAATCTGCCATTTTTGATGTTTCAAGCTGTTGGGTATACGAATCCGCACGCCAGACCGAGCATTTTATGGCTTGCGAATCCGTACTCTTAAAGGTCTCCGAAGTCAGAAAATCTACAGCCAGTTTCATCTGTGTTTGCCTTAGATGTTCGTAGATTTAGACGGCAGCGAGGCGACCCTCGTGTGACCTATCGAAGGTTTCGCCTTGCTCGTCTGTGTAACTGGCTTCCTGGTATATTACCAGTTATCTGAACACATCAGTTGTTAGTGAGGTTGCCAGGAGTCAAATTATATAAAGCGGGCTTCAGTGTGCAGTTTCTTATCCTAGGTCAGCGGGACACGGGGATAGGAGTCTCCGTAATACAGGTGGCCTAGCGCTGAATTCCAGGGAGATTAAGGCAAGGGTTAGGGTTGGGGTTAGAGTTAAGGTCTAGTTAAGATAAGGTTAGAGCCAAGGGTTAAAGTTAAGGTTTTGGCTAAAATTACGATTAGGGTCAACGTCATGGTTAGTGCACGGTAGTAGGTACCCTTCCTGGAATTTAAAGCAAGATCGCCTGTATTATGGGGGTCACTGCTCCGATGTCTTGCCGCTGATTTATTTAATTTAGGCTTCGATGTGCAGTTTCTCTTTTTTTAACTAATGTTCGTAAGCTCATAGTTTCACTGTTTCTATTCCTCACCCCAGGACAAGTGTCAAATTAGGCGATCGGGTTTAGTAATGAGAAGGATCACGAACTTGATATAAACTTGGTTCCATTCCCATTATTTTCTTCCGTTGAGCAGAGGTTGAACTGCGCCTGGAACCCACTGGAAATGTGATTCCATATACCCAGATTTTAAATCAACTGCGATCGGACCCAGAGACACTGAAGCGGTTGCGCAGTGAGGTTGAAATGCTTCTTTCCGAGCAGCTCGTCGATCACGAAATTGATCCGCAGGCCACTGGCATTTCAACTGAACTTTTAAAAGGACGATTGGATACGCTGAAGCGTGAAAGAGAAAATCTTGCCCGAAAGCATCCCAATTTCGCTGAAATACGAGCGGTATGGCTCATCACCTTATTTAAGATTTCACACACTCCTTTTAAATCCTTATGCATAAGTGGACAATGTGGGAGTTTCTTAGAGTAAGATCACAATGACTAACACCGTCAGCATGTGCAGACATGCTCTGGAGTTCTGTCTAGGGGACAGACGATTGCGTACTTGGAAACGGCCAAATAAGTGAAAATATGGTTTCTAAACATCACCATCCTTCTACGTCAAGCTCTTATAGCATACACTGGTCATCAGGCCTTGGACTCCTTAGAAGTTTGTTCTTGGGTTAGGATGAGGGTTCATGTACCCATTTTTGCTGGTATCTGTGACAAAATTGGTCGTCTCCTCTGCAACGTTGCAAAGTTCCAAACATCGATTGCTGTTTTGTGATATCAGGCCCTTTGCGCCATCGATACGATCCTATGAATAAAAGGGTAGAAAACCAAGTTTGTATGGTAAAATATGTCTTTTTGAACCCATTTCGTGAATATTTTGTTTTTCCTCTCGTTCACAATGACATGCTGAAAATAGCATCAGCTTCGTTTTTACCAGACTATCTCCGCTGGTTAAAGCAGGTACGAGGGTTTCTTATCAGCACTCATCATGTTGTCTCTATTATAAAGCTTAGCCTTTGGCTTTTAACTGAAAGGACTAGGCCAAAGTAGATTAAGTTTTTGGAGCCAAGATTTCTAGGTCCAAATACGACTTTTATAAGTAGCACGGCTCTAAGCAGTCGGCACTCAAGGACTAACCACACAAAACTCACACCTACCTAGTGTTCAACTCAGATGGCTGCCCGAAATTCAAACTTGACTCAAGAAGTCCGCTCTAAGGACTCTAATTTAAATCTCTCAGTACCTTCCGACGAAAGTCCACAGTTGTATATTCTCATATGTCTTACCTAATCCAGCACAGACAGTAGGTGATGTTACTTAGCACATATGCGTGCACTCGCAAAAGACCCTTAATTAATCGGAAAACCAGTCAAGTGAACCAACCAAAACTTCCAACGAATAACCAACGACCTTCACATGGATAAAAACGCAAAATAAGTATTGAAACTGCTATTACGTTAGTTAGAAATGATAACTGTATTAAGTGATTCTGAAATGCTTAAAGCCAAAATATTCGTGTTAAATTTCCAAAGTTAATTTATTGAATACTTGTGGTCTGTCCGTGTAAACAACTGAGTAAATAAAACAGCATATGCAAAATGAGGTTTCGGAAACTTTTTATGGAAATATAAATATGCCTTGAAGTAAAGAAGAGGACTGGTCGAATACCGAAACAGTTCTGAGTTTTCGAACTTCTACAGTAGTCCATCGTCAGATAGTGGCAGCAACTCAACGATGTAACAGAACGATGGAACAGAACTATGGACTCCTGTACGGGTCCGAAAGCTCAGAACAGTGAGCAAATTGTTCCGGTGCTCAACCAGTCTTCTTCTTTTCTTATGCATACACCTGGAACTCGAACTTTCGCCTCCATTCGGCCTCTGAAGTTTCCGCTACCCTTTATGAAGTAATGGTTGGTATTTGATTTGCGAATTTAATACAAGATAAAAAATCTGTTAGAGTACCTAAAGTAAATGTTACGCACAACTTTAGAATACTCACACTTTGCCAATCTGTATTAAGTGGCAGACTATAACCTTAAAAATAACGCAGCCCTAAAGGCTTTCACTGGGCGAAGGCCTGCATACTCTAATAAGGAGCTTAGGAATAGGGCGTGAGTCCAAATCCGAGTCTACCCAAACTTTCATGTGGCTAGTGGCCGCAGTTTCCCATATCCGAGGTATATTGTACTGACTAAACTTCAGTTTTTTAAACTCCTCAGGACTTAGTGCGCTAACTTGAAGCAACTTCTCTGGGACAAACCTTTCCAGGCTCTGGTCGAACGTTGATACCAACATTTGAGCCAAAATCCATCACCTATAGCGTACTAGCCGCGTAAAATACATAAGGTCTCAACAGGCAGTGAAATGCACATGTTGCATGATCCACCATGCTAACAGCACAAATACCAGTCAAAAGTCCAAACAGGCGTGTTTCGCAGATTTTCTGCCGCTGCATGAGGCAGTTGCATATATTACTATTCAGTCTTAACTTGAATTTCGTGCCACAACTAGGCCGACTCCACGAGCGCAACACCCGCACGTAATGAGCACTCAATTGCATTTTGTTTGTAGAGCGCTGGACGGCGTCCCCACCCAAGCAACAGACCTGAACTCATATTTTAGGCTTTTGAGCCCGGGGTTACCATACTGTTTGCTGACGACGGCAAATAAAACTTTAATTGTTAAACAGTTCCCCTCATCTTGATGGCACACCCCTTTTGATAGAATTCCAATGATGCATCTCCCTCTTACAGATAAAAGTGCGATTTGGACTGAAATCGGTGGTCGCAAAATATCGAAATGCATCCGCAGATTAACCATCTTTGCAAGGTTATGAGACACAGTTCAGATCACAGTCGACAATTCCAGGAAGTTAGACCCCTCACCGCCGCAAGAATGATCTCTGAAATTTCAAACAATTAAAACCGGTCCATTAAGCAAAAAGGACGACATAAGAATGCACATTAGCACGAGCGGAGGAAGGTAAGGGCAGAGAGGCTATGACCAGAAATCACATGGTGTGGGCAGGTGTGTCGAGGTTTGTGGGAGAGCGTTGACTTGGCTGGCAAAGCAACTGAAAAGGCAAGAGCCGTGAATTCATCGCATGATTAGTAACTCTTCCCAGGCAACACCTGACTGTTGAATAGGAAGAAGAGAGGTCAGTATGAATGCTGGTGAACTGCTGGCTGGAGAACCATGGATTGAGCAACTCGCGACTCACGCGGTTGTCACCTATAGCGAGGATTCTGATCCCGTTTAACCTGAAGGTGTGGTCGGGCCCCGTAAAGTGAGCTGCAACTCCAGATTTAACGTCATTTCTTTTCAAACTGCCGTTCGCGTACCAAGTAATATCCCAGCTTATATGACGCACTTTCTCGGCCCCAGCTACAGACGTTTCCTATCATGACAATGGATATCTCGGTCGTATTACTTAGTGCCTGAGGGTTGCCTCCAGTACGCATGTAACCCCAAATCCCAGTGCCGCGACAGACAGTCTGACGGCTCCCATGACGTCTTGACGAATGGGAATGTTTCTAAAGTTTGGGACCGGCACAGTATTATCTCTCGTTTTGGTTAGATATTCGCTGGTTGACCAGTTTATGCGGGCAACCATTCGTTCTGAGCACTCCCCGAATAAACTGTGGGTAAACAACCTTGTCTTCTGGTTCACCGCAGCGAGCCTCAAGATGCCGATACAGAGCCCTCACGGAGCAACATTTGCAGCTGACTGGCTGCTTGCTGTTGGAACTCAGTACCGACGACGAACCTATTGCCTTCCTGCACACTTTGATGTTTAGACTACCACAACCTTTGCGACAGACGAGGACATCGAGAAAGGCCATCTGTTGTTCTCTTCCTGCTCCATCATGAATTATATGGCGGGGATGACGGAATTGGGATGTTCTTTAAATTCCACATACTCGATCCCTTTCAATAACGGCGAAGATATCAGTAACATACCGAGTCCAGGATTTAGGTCTGTGTTGGTAGACTCGTGACTTCAACCGATGCAAGATCACGTCGCATATGAGTCCCGAAATCAAAGAACTTATTGGTGTTCTTCTCATCAGCCGGGAATTTGTCCCATCAAGGATGCAATACATTTCGAGACTTAATTTCAGAAGCTCGAGGACATGGACGTATCCAATAGTACTTTCCCCTTCATCGTATTTATTTCGCAGAAGTAACTCGGTGATCTTAACAACCTGATCCTGAAAAATAGTAGCAAAGGGTGAAGGGAAACCAAAGGATATCATGGGATAGGAGACCCGCCCTTAAAAATGGTGTTGACAAACTCATTGGACTGCGGTAACTGACAATCCAAAAATGACGACGTCGAAAAAATCACTTTGTCAATCCGTGACTTAGCGTCTCAGAAGATAGCCTCTTATAAATTTATCTTGGGAAGGGCCGCGGATGTTCCTTGGATTCTTGCAATGTGCTGGTAGATCGACGTTGTTGCACCTGAATTCTTCATTGCTAAAAACATCGCGTTGATTCTGCCTGTCAGCATGTTTAATTACTTACATTCGCATGGGACTTATAACTGACAACCATCCTGCAAGCTCTTTGTCCTCTGAAGATAGTCTGTGTTGTCCAGTACGACAGTGGAACGACCCTTGTCCTCTAGCAAGACAATGGAGCCGTCGTAAAGTTCCTCGACCCCGGAATCCCCGTGAGAAGTGGAAACCGCGTAGTTACTGACTGTCATATTGATGTGCTGGACAGTTTTATTTGGTTTAGAACAGAGTTACTGACAGCTACACTGATTAGAGACAATATCGGTCTCCTATTCGGTGCTAAGAGAGGGGTGGAAACGAATCCTGTCTCACTTTGGAGGCAACAGGGTCTGGCGTTGATACGGTAATTAGAACATTGTTTGGGTCCATCATGAGCATAAGTTTGAAAGAATTTACCTAAACCTACCTTATCAGGTCAGTATAAATGAAATAAACCATGGTGCACTTGCTAGCACGTGGAATGCAGGGGCTGCTTATGGCACTGACTGTCAAAAGTTGTGTTTAAATTTAACATTCTGATCCACCACAGTGCACTGAAGGGGTAAATAGGCTAACAGGTTTAAATTACTACTAACTGTTTTAGACGGGATAATGATAATGACGTTTTGGACCTCAGACATAGATCTCATCAGCAAGTCCTAGCGTATTTGTAATCGACGAAGTTTAGAAAACTTGGCGTACTTAATTTTATAAAAGCTCCATGCGATTACCTTGCCCATAGCTTGACCAACTGTTCATTCAAGCTAACTTTGACCGTGTTTATGTCGTAAATGTTTAGTTAGTTTAGTTCAAAACCCTTCAGTGTAGTTAGTAGAAAAAATCTTTCTTTAAATTGGAAAACAGTGGAGTTGGCGTATCTCTGGCTGATGACTGAGAATAAACCAGAAATGCCAATACCACTTTTCTTGTCTTTGTCGGTAAAACATCTTGGACAATGATTGCTCGTCACATTGAGACGGGTCGCACAGACTGTGGACTCTCAGTTCTAGAGTCAAACTGAATTATTGGTGAGTAGGGAAGCAGAAGGCTGATCGAGAAGCGGAGCCCCAGTTTTTGTCCTAGCTTTCGAATTCGTGCAAAAGTGCATCCTCAGAGACAAAAGCAACAGCAGAACGGGCGACAGTTATAGGGGTTATTTGCCAAACAACGATAAGTAACTCATGTATGGAGGTGGCTGCGTAGTGCTCTGTATTCCGTCGCCAAATCGAAACATTGAGTGACTGAGTTCCAATCCGAGACCAGGTTCCAATCAATTCCTGCCAAGTCTTTGTTCCGGCGTGGGAGATTATATTCTTGGCTCCCCGAATTTAGACTCGTGATCCGTTTCGAAGGTGTTGGCAGTCAGTCGAGGTAATCCGACCGCTGCTTACGCATTCTTCCTCGGACCACTGAAGTCCCTAACTCTCCTAAGTCGTGCATTCTCTGTCTTCCATCAAAATATTTTTCGAAGCAACGGCACTTCTTTGCACAGGTTTAGGTGTCAGTGCTACTTACATACTTGAGGTGTTAGTGCCCGGTCAAGCCCTGCGTACCAAATGCCAACTACAGTTCTATGCGTGGTCTGGCCTTGACTATCAGATTCAGTTTCATAGGTTCCCTTTTAAGAACACTGATAAACTGGACCAAGACTGGCATCCGCGGTTTTGCGAACTCCAGCGGACTGTGCGGGGGCTGGGAACTAGGCCTTATCACAAACAACCGTGCATGCCCTGCGTTCTGCTCATGACTTGAACTTTGCAGGAGCGATGACGATCGGCCGAGCCACCAGCAAGAAAGGCCGGAGGCTACTGAAGGCCCGAACTCCATTGAGGACTCACTGACCAGCAACACTGACCTTTCGCCCGCATGTAAACCCTACGAGTCCGCCTGCAGCCGGCTTCTACCCTTCCCACTGGCGGCTGATGGGGACCATAAATGCTGCATATTCGCTGGTACTTTCCATTTTTCCAGTGATTAGCTCTTCTACGAGTTCCAAAACTCGAAAGAGTAGTATTATCGTCACAGTGGTGAGGTTTCTTCGTCGTCTTCTGTGAGACGAATAACCGTGGGTGTTATGCTGGTAATGGTAGAGAGTTATAATTACCTCGGAGGGCCTTCGCTTTATTCATAGATGTTTTGGTAGATTTTGAATAATTCGTTTTATGTTGCCAATGTGGTATTGAGGTTTTTTCAAGAAATAGCGTCAAGACGAATAACCGACCTACAAAAATCTAAGTGTGACGTTAATCTTATTGGCCGTCCAATGTCTCAGAGGCTTTGCTCTATGTATATGCAAACTCTACTTCGGACAAAGTGATCGCCTGAGCTCTAGGTTGTGACAGTGACTGAAAGTCTTTCGTGTCTCCTTTTTTTCTCGATAACCCTCCATTGTTTCACTTTGTAGTCTATTGCCCAGCAAGTCGACCGAATGGCCCGAATTGCTTTGCATTCCAAACGTGACCGCGAAAATCTTGGAAAGTCGATGTCCACACCTAATCAGTCAAAGAAACCCCGTATGAGTTCCACCACTCCCAATAGCAGTACCTTAGCTGTTGCTGAGCCGGAAATGGGCAACGACATCACACGAGTCAGTTCTTCTCAGCCGAAACAGCCCTCAGCTTCGCCCCACACGTCCACAGTCGGAATGTCCCAGTTGCGGACCAGCCGACCGCAACGAGATGGCAGCACGGCTACCATAGCGATGGATCGTGCGGTGGCCCCGAGAGACATGATGAACGGACTGAACGAGAGCACGCATACGCAGTCAACTTTCTCACTCTTTGAGGAGGTTTCTGAACACCCCAGTGGCTCACGAAGCGAACGGTAAGCGATGGTGGTGTGCATTAGGTGGTTAGCTGCAAGCAGCGGAATTATCCTGCCATTTCAACATTTAATAAGTTATTCAAACGCCCTGCCTCCCCTTCCTCTGCCAGCCTGACTCTCAGATGCCATTAGATCACTGACCTACAAAGTAGGAGTGCTGCGTTGAGCTCCAGCTTGATCCATCTAGTGTCACATCGCGCTTGGAAAATAATGCTAATAGTAGCGTTGTTAGCCAGCATGGTAATTTCAATACGAATTGGATAAGCCAGTTTGTGTCTTTCTAGCGAAACGCTGCCTAAGAGCTTTTTCTTATCTGGCCCTCAGAATAATCCTTGTGCAAGAACGCTGGCTTGCGCATTCTCCTCAGGAACTTCTATGAACTCAAATCGTTTATCATGTACATCTGCGGAGTATCCGTACAACTCTCTGCTCTTTCGAACTAGTCACCTGGAAGAGATGAATCTAGAGAGTCATTCGTAAAAAGGATGAAAAACGACAAAATACTCTCCCAGAAATCGAAGGTGTTTATTTACTAGACATCTAACAGTGTGAAGCACACGGTCGTTTGAAGTTCACGAATGCATGGACAATCCCCGTGAACCTCACGTAAGAAATTACTGGTTTTCTCATCATGCAAAGCAGTACTGCCTAAACGTCGAAACGAGTTAGCTTTTTATAGGGTCCCACGCCTCTCTGTCGGCGGATCTCCTTAGAAATCTTGTATCGGCATAGCAGCTCTTTTTGTACAGAACAGTGAAGTCAGATAACGGCCAAATTCGAATAGTCCCTGTGCAGTTTTATTTTCAACAAGAATCATTCCTTTGACAGAAATCTGAGGACGACTAGTCAACAGGACATTAGAGAGATTAGTCTGGAGGGCGAGGAGATGGGCGTTGACGTTGCAGAACCGACAACGCCATCAGCAATGCGTCGCTTAGGTACTGGCCGTGGTGACCGTCATCTCTCGCAGGACGCACCAACGCTCGTGACCCGCGAGGGGACTGCCCCGCCAACTGCAGCCGAGCCTTTCAAGCTAACTGTCCTGCAATCAGCTCCCAAGTCAGAGTCGGCACAACTTGTGTTGGCTAAACCAACCATTCTAGAAGACAGTGAAGACTGGGACAGTGCATCGGACGAAGATGTCAATGCTGGGTAAGATGTGTTCGCATAAGTTCGCTCTGTTTGTCAATTTTATTCTGGTCACCCTTTAAAGTCCAGATTTAAAAAAGAGAGCTGGATTGAGAGGCCCATGCTGGTTAACAGAAATAGTCAGACGCCTCGAGTGTCGTCATAGTTTTCTGTCATTTCACCGATGGATTGTGGAAAGGACATTGACAGACATTTTTCTGTCTGAAGAACAGAAACCCGTTAACTATGTCAGCCGCCTTAATTTCTATTCCTCTCCATTCTCTCTAGACCTCACATCGGTTCTGCATCCAGGACAGGCGGCGCTTCGCTGGAGCAGAAAACACCATCAAAGTCACAGTTGGAGGATTTAGTAGTCGACGATCTCACCAACTTGCTGGACGACATTGAAGACACAAATGCAATTCAAATACAGAAGACAAACCAAACCCCCAAAGTTCGCAGCTCATCTGTGCCTGGATCGAGTCGACCACCGTTTGGCCGCAATAATAACTCCAAAGGAGGTAAAGTTTTCACGTCTGCCTTCACCTTAGCAGTCATTCCAGCCTCCCTTGCCTTTGTCGACACTGTTATTCTGCCTGTATTATGCGCCGCTGTGCTGCTGCTCATTGGGCTGGAGTGAGAATCCCAGGGCGCAACGGAACTAGTGAACTCCGTAACACAAGCGATATTGAAAGGCAGTCATCCCAAAAATACCGGTTGAATTCAAATGCGTTCTTGGGGACAAGTGACTTTGGTGCGCACGTCGACCGGCGTTCTATGCTACTTACGTGACCTCTAGCTAGTTCCTCCTCTCTCCTCTGCTGGCGTCGGCCATTGGATCTGCGTGGATTTACTGACTTTTTCCCTTAACCATACGTGAACTAAATCGCGATTTGCGCCTAGCGCATGGTAGGTGGGTCACAGGTCCGTAACGCAGTTAAGTGGGCTAGTACGAGATCAACTTTAGATCGCCAGTCCGGTAATCTTTTTATTGGCTCAGCCAAGATCCTTAGCTTTATCCGTGGTGAAATTGTGCTTGCCCCGTTGTACGTGACCGTACACCATGTCAGTTTATCCTTGCAGTTTATCGCAAGCTAAGGGTTCATGCAGTTTTATTTCGAAACTATTGCCAGATTCACTAGCATGTCGCGCATCGCAGTTTTGACATGGCAGACCGTAGACCACTGCTGATTGTTTTATCACTGACAGCGAGATTTTGGGCCTCATTCTCTTCTGTCTGATGGTGAATTCTGGTCTTGGTCTACTCCAATCCAAACACGTTTCAGAATTTTTCCTGTCTCCTCAGAAACATCCTTCGTATGCAAGATTATGAACCTGAAATTCGATTACTCACCGTTCGAGCCCTCACAGCTAGGTCTCTTTTGGCACTTGCGTGTTAAGGATCAAGGGTAACGACTGGCTGCAAATAAGGAGTACAGATATTTCTATTCTCCCTTTCTCCCATCCTCGTCCCTACAGTGTGTCTTAATGGAAGATTTAGTAAATTATCTCCTCACAAGCCAAGAATGTGAGCTTAGAAAAGTTTCTGAGACGTAAGTAAAAGCACATTTCGGTTCGTTAATTTCCTTCCTCATCTTTAGGGGATGAGGAACGCTGGAATGTATGTGGATATCGGATCTTAGTGCACGTTGTTAGGTGTAATTAATGCAACTCCCCTAATCATGTCGGATTTTAATGTACTGCGAGGTGCCTTGATCGGTGTCTGACGGAATTCATTTCAGAATTGGTGTTGGTTTACCCTCTTTTCACTCGATTCTCATAATGTACAGCCACTTTCTGCATGCGTTTGCGTAGACCCAACCCTACCGGGAGGATGAGAACTCGCTGTCCGTGGACACAGCGGTGGCTGCCAATCGTCATGATTGTCCCTCTCAACTGCTGAGATTGAGAGCGGTAATTGGGACTTCTAGTTCATCTGATGTGCACAGCCTTATAGGAACTCTATCGTTTATTTTGCCGCCAAAATCACCGAAGTTGAAAACTGTAGTGTCTTCCAACTGCCATCCTTTAAGACAGTTGGCTTATCTTGGTCGAATGCGTAAGGCTTTAGTCATTTTGTCTGTTCTATATTACGCACCAGAGTCAACAGACTTAGAGGCTATCCAGTACAATCGGCTGCACTTCAAAATGTTGATTAGGTCCGAAATCAGAAATAAGGAAAACAGCGTTTTCTTTAGTATGCTTATTAATCAGTGGTGCCTTAGCAACTGGTATCAGACAGAGCAGTGCTTATGCGCGGACTTCATAATTCCCGAAGCCCTGATATGATTCGTTGTCCGATCCATTCACGAGCAACTTAACGGTCGCGGGATACACGCTGCGCGAGCATGTGCTGAGGAGTTAAAGAAAATAATGTCGGTGTATCCTTGCAGCCAATTCACGTGTGAACAGTTCACTCCTACTTTCCTACCCCCAAAAAACTGTCCTATTCTGCCCCATTACATAATTTATTATGGCTGCAATGACCTTTTCCGTAATCGAGGGAATTTTGGACCAATTCTTCCTGTTATTTGATGTTTTTCCTAGAAGATGAGGACGACGAGGTTGTCAGTGTTTCATCGCTGAACCCTGCGGAAGGTGGTGATACCAGCGCGTCGCTGGCTTTCGACACCCCGCCTGTGGGCGTCTCAACAACCAGTTCCGGTTCCATGACGCCTAGTCGCCCGCCAGCCTATGAGGCTCCAGTTCGCCCGACAACTAGCAAAGGGCGTACGCCACAGACCGCCCCTCTTTCTGGCCAGCCAGTAGGCATCCTCATTATTTCTTAATCACTATACTGGCTGTATTCTACGAAAAAATGCAGCTGACCCTTTTAAAACGAATATACCTAACATATGTATCAACATATAAGCAGATGGATGGCGTGGCTATGGGCTCGCCCCTTGGCCCGCTTTTGGCGAATATATTCATGGGGAAGTTAGAAGCTTTCCAACTACGTCACCAGATCAACGGTTTAAGATACTATGGGCGGTACGTGGACGATATATTCTCAATTGCACCGACACAATGTGACATCTCAATTCCACTGGATGAAATAAATCAGGCGTACCCATCAATAAAATTCACTCTGGAAGAACAGTCCGGTCCACGTCCCTTTTTGGATGTGCTTCTGAGTAGAAGGCCTGACGGCAGCATTCGACGTAGCGTCTATCGTAGGAAAACGTGGTCCGGACAATAGACTCATTTTGGGAGTTTCGAACAGCTAAACGTTAGACGCAATTTAGTCCGCTGTCTGACAGAAAAAGTGAGAAGAATCTGCTCAGCTGATAGCGTTCAGAAAGAGCTTAAGATCACCGAAAGCTCTTTTCGCCAGAACGGGTATCCTGATCGATTCATTTCTAAGAATATGGCCGAAAGGCCACAAAAGCCCCCGATGCTGACGTCAGGTAAGAAAAGGATCTTCATCAGGGTCCCATTTCAAGGGGATGCACCAAGTGAACTTTTAAGAAGACGCCTAACTCACGCTGTATCACAAACTTTTCCAGCAACTGACACCCGTGTACTGTTCTCCACCAGTACCATCCTATACGGAGAGGGCAAGGACAAACTACCAGCTCAGACCACCTCTGTGTATATTTACTCCTTCACATGCTCCTGTGGGGCGGAATATATTGGTCGCACGAGCCGGCGTTTATCCAAAAGAATAAAAGAACACCTTCCAGCATGGCTAGGAAAGGGTCAAATAAAGAACATCAACAGCTCGATCCTGGCGCACATGGTAGACGCAGACCACGATATAGACGCCAGAAAGGCCTTCGGAGTGATTTACAAGGTCCCGTCAAGCTATCTAAAACCACTCGGGCAGCGCTTGTTGGTTACGGCAGAGGCGGCTGCAATCACGCTACGCTGACCGGTCCTATGTACACAGAAGAACTTCATACAGGTCCCACAGTTGCCAAAGTCACCAAGCCAGCCACCCGCACATAATTGCCTTCACCGGGACCCATCTTCTTCCTGGCGCTGACTGGAATTGTGGCGTTTCACTCTCCCCCTCTCCTCCCCTCCCCAAACCCGAGCTACAGCATAATTATCTACTTGCTCGTATCCTTTAATTCGTTACTTAAATAGCCATATAAATGCACAGGCCTGAAGAGAATTTATCAAAAGCAGACGTATGCTCGCCAAATTGCCTTTTGAATATATCTAATCTGACGATCGCCCTTTCTCTGAGCGCAAGTTTAAATATAACAAAAGGTTTAGCTCCCCCCTCAAGCTTGCCTTCTGAGTGGAAAACGACGCTAAATAGCTGTATGTGTTTTTCTTTTGTTAAATATCGTTTGACGCACTAAGTAGGCCAGCACAATTCTTCGCCACTCGCCTTTGTATGTGTGATGCTCCCGCGAATTGCAGCTGGGAAGTAAACACAACTCTCATATGTCCATGCATTGACATTTTCCGGCATCTTAATCGAAATGGAAAACTATATCAATTAGCCATCAAACAATTGTTTGTAAACTGTCAGTACGTCTGTTCCAGGTATTCACCAGGCCAGTTGGAAACTCTAAATCTGTAGCACAGTTAATCGTCCACCTGACGCAACGGATAAACAACCAAGAACAATGGTAGACCTGCCGTGACAACTAAAGTCACGGAGAGACGCTAACCACCGTATTCCTCAAGTCAGGTCGTCGTAGAAAGTACGGATAGAAGCAAGTAGAAGAATAGTTGAGTGAAGAAGAAGAGTCGAGCACCGGAACACTTCGTTTATTATCCTGAGCTTTCAGACTCCTGTACGAGTCTGAAAGCTCAGGATAATAAACGAAGTGTTCCGGTGCTCGACTCTTCTTCTTCACTTATGCATACACCTGGAACTCGAAATTTCGCCTTCATTCGTAAGAATAGTTGAGTTTTGTACTGAATGGGCGAAGAATGTGCTGCTGGAGCAGATTACCAGCGGCTAGGGCAAGCATCGGAATTTCTTGAATGGGAGCCTGTCCGCATCAGACCTGCAGTTTACTGGGCAGTTTTGATTGGCTGCGACTGACTAGACGTCATACAGTGCCCCGCGGCGTCAGTGATGGGCTGTCACGGAGACAGCACACAGAGCCTCGCCATGCCAGACGTGCGAACTACCGTTGACACCGACGTGTAGACATATGCCAGACCCAGTACGCTGGCAGACGTCGATAGCGGGGCCGCTACGGACCTACTGCCTGCCTAGTGTGTAATACATTGATGTTACTGTGAATTTGACATTTAATTCTTTCATCGGTTGTCGAGTAGCCTCCTTGGGGCTTTTTTGCAGCATTGCTGTCAGCAACTCGTTGCCGCTGTGACTGCTTGTTCAAAAGTTAGTTTCCCCTCGCCTAGTCCGTAGCCCTCTGTTTTTTTAAACTGTAGACCCACATAAATAAGAGATCTGCTGCTGTGTTCTTGGTATTGTCCTTCACAACGATACAAGATATCGCAAAGTGGATAATGGAGAGCAAAAATATCCCAGTGGGATTAGAAAAAACAGTGGCCTGTGAATCGGGCGTGGTAGGAAGTTAGATCGTCCGGTCTAGCTGGCACTGCAATCTTGAGTCGCATATAAAATTCGAAAACATGCAGATCGTCTTGGCTGACCCGACTAATTTACAGAAAACCCCACCTTTCTGTAGGTATCACTTTCATGACTGCAGTTAGAAAATGAATTTGATGGAAACAGTATGACAGTGAGACATCGGCAGATGCAAGTAGTCGAAAAAATTGATCACGTAACTAAATGCAATAGCCCTAGTCCTTCTCTGTTTAACTCGAATGCTCCGTCGTAGTCGTGGTAGCATGCGCTGACTGTAATAACTTGACAGTGCCGGGTGTGGTAGCACGCCCAGGGATGGCTCTGACCGCGTGAGCCACCTGCGCCCCTCCCACTTCCAGTCTTCTTCATTAGGTCTTGCCAACGGACCCAGATGGGGAAGGAGGAGAGAGTGCGGTAGATGTCGCGCAAGTCTACTACCCGTATAAACTATGTCATCGTTTCTGTCCTTATCCTGCTGTGGAGCACACGGTGGATATCATCGCGATCGACAGTCGAACTGTCAACTCAGCAGCATTCTATCTTGCCTTTTGCAACCTAAGCGAGGATTTCCGCTGCCTTCCCTGTAGACTTTTCATAGCGGAAGAGATTTGATGAAAGTTCGTATACTTAGTAAATTATTCATATTCGGGTGCATTCCTGATTGTGCATCCAGGGATGGAATGTCGCCCGGACCGACAAATTCGCCGACGAAAAGTATCTTTTTGCTTCATTGTAACTCACCGTACCATAGTGATCTATGAGCATTCGTGGTATGTACGGCGCTGAGTAGCCTTACGCTTTGCACTACATCTGCCTGCGATCACAAGTACCCTAAATTCTAGGCCCACGTCTGCCTCTGGTTCGGCATCGGAGTGCTCATACATCCACAAGTGCTTCACCACAACTCCACAGACATCTTCAGATGCTAGTCTGTATCGGGAACCATTTCTAGCGTTTATTTAGTAAATAGTTCCGTCCCTTTTGAGTTCTCAGTCCATATAACACTGATTCCGGAAGATTAATACTTCTACAGAGGGGTGTGACTTCGATATACATGTTAAAATGTTTCCGATTATTATTTTCATTATTATTATTATTTGCTTCCCGCTGCATGCATTATTATCAGTTTAAATTTGACCATATTTGAGACGGACAGTTACTGATAGTTTTTCCTCTTTGATTTCATTCAGGTGCACTTGCCAAGAAGCCAGAACCGGTAAACACGGTCATGACGAAATTTCAGACTCAAATGACCGCAATCCGTAAGAAAACAGGAAACCAAGAAAAAGATGGAGCCAAAGAAATACTTTTTAAATTTTGCTTAATGATTGATAATCTTGAAATTATAATGCAATGACGTTTCTTACAATATAAACTACGACTGCGTACCATAAAAATATGCTTACACCCCCTGCCGTAAGAGTACTTTGCCTTCAGCCATTTTTACGGAGGTGTACTTTTAGCATTTAACAAGCACATCTGCAATGATATCCATGTAATCATTGAAAAAGCCAAAATCGGCGCATATATGTTTTTGATTATTCTTTGCTAGGTTTGTACAGTTCTATAGGTAAATTGTGGTAAAACAGCAGAAGACGAAACCAGTCAATGAACAGTAGTCATGAGGGAGGCTGTTGAGGGCATCCGGACATGTTAGAATAACTTGGTCAACCGAGTCTAGCTTTTTCAGGAACATGAAGAGGGAATAAAGGGGGGAGAATCTGCCAGTGAGTTATGCTTGTATTTAGTTCCTGTAACGCATTGTGACAGGATGCAGGAACAAACATTTTGGACTCAACTTGGACGAGGACAGTCTGAAGACGTGTTAAACGTCCCCTGTGAGCACAAGGTCGGGTTGGGTAACCGCATGGCCACTGGCTCTGCTGTCGCAAGTATTCTTTATCCACAAAGTCAGCCACACTTGCGCTACAGACGGACATTTTCTGTACTCTTATCCAGCCAAACGGGGTGGTGTTCTCTAATCCGCTCGAGTAGACGCCTAGTTGTCCGGCCAAGATAACCTGCCTACAGAAGCAAATGAAGGCTTTGCTGTACACTGAAGAAGCCTGAAAGGACAGGTCGTCCTTGCCTGCAAGGCAAAGGGAAGGGACATTTGAGAAGACTAGACTTTTCATGGTGGCTCGATACGTGTGTGCAGTAGCAGAGTTTGAGCGAGGTCGTAGAAGTCTACTGGCCGGGTCCCCCGAATGGCAATGTGAGAAATAGCTCCTTCTTCTGAGCCTTCGCACGTCCGTTCTTGGCGAACGTTCCTCGATTTATTTCGTGACAAGTTTGTTGAGGAATCATTCTCTCGCAGTTACGTTAAGGCCACCACCGGTGTGCAATTGGTAAGTCATGTCAAACAATAATGCAAAATAGGACTAGACCTCTTCTGAAAGGGGGTTTCTGTGATTTGGTGCCATCAGACCAACCAGACCTCAGATAAGTCTAGCTGCGCACGTTAGTGGTATAAATAGCAACGCATCAGATATCTGCCAAAAGGCTGTAGGTATGGTTTGCAACACATAAGTGCAAATAAATTAAGAAGTATGCACCAGGTTACTTGGGATTCTATACTCCGCGGTCCCTAGTGTGTACGAGCGAATATGAACTTCAATCGATTCAATAGACACCAGCCAACTTTGGTTTACAAATACGTGGTGAATGACGGGTTGGGGTTTGAGGTATTTCAAATTCAATTTAACTACCGTATACTTTGTTGACTATGAATTTAGCTTTCTCACCGTTTCTAACTTAAGTCCTTCAATTTTTTCAAAGGACATTTTTAAGAGTCTTGCTTCTCTGGTAGCCGAGATATTTCGTCAGCTGAACCCTGAGAGCATGTATTCTTTTGTTGCCAGAAGCTGTCCAATTAGGGATTATGTTGCTCACCTTCTGTCGTCTGGTGAGTACGGACGACAGTAAAGACATCATACTAAGTTCCTCTTAGGAGTAAGTCCACTCCATATGCACCAGCTGCTAATTGTCGAATCAGTTCGCTGCGCACGCGAGCGTCAACACTGGCTATTGTTTTTTCCACAAAGGACTCCACGGCTTTCGCACCGAAAGAACCTCTAAATCTACAACTGCATTTATCGTCAATAGATCGGAGTTACTGTGATTCTGCATGTTCGCTCGCCTGTTCAAAATGATATGCATATGACACTTGGGCGGGTTTCTGTGTCAGGCCTTAATATCGAATTATATTGCACCATGGTCGTATTTACCTAACTGGGGGTGTGTGACACTGCGAAATATACTGGTGGTTACTGGCGAAAGCAATTTTAGGAACGAACCGAGACGCGTGTGGATTGTAACCACTTGCAGACTTTGAATTATTGAAAGCCAATGGCGTTCGTTCATGTATTCATATTTTTGGGGCAGAGATAGCGACTACTCCAGAAGTTTAGGACCGACATGATTGCAGAATTTGGCGAGATACTATGCCTTGTCAGCTGCGCTGTTGTTGCGCCTGATTTTTTCTGGATTTA